ACAAGCAGAGCACCCGACGTCGTCCGGGGTAAACAAATCAAAATATAAAACAGTAATTCAAATGTTAAGTTCAGCATAAATTAGAGGAGAAAAACTATTTTCTTTCTGTTTAAATTAAGGCATCCTTATGAGCCATATATTGATCATCACTCTCTATACTACAAATCTGGTTCCATTATTAATGTTAGGTGAATTAAGGTAACGATAGAATTTTTAAATTAGTTTACTACGGTGCATTCCATTTAGCTGCCTATTCGCTTCGCAGCTTTAGTATAGCTGTACTTTTTCGGTAGAATGCTTATTTCGGAAGAAGTTTTATTCATTATGAATGAACATTTTTCGTTTAACAGCAACGCGGGACCAAAGAAACGATTGAATCTTTCCATTTCGAAATGATCGAAATGATGTAAGGTTTCAAAAAAACACAGTTTTAAATATCAGTGATCTAATAGATGAATACATATGTATTTATTCCCCTTTTACAAACTCATATATATATACTTTACTCTAAACAGCTCCCATTTATTTGCCTGCATACCAAATTTCAATTTCATGTGACTTATGGTCTTTAAGTTATAGCTAAAAAAAATTTCCACGCCTATGGGATTACAAATTCATTTATATATATATTTTTGTAAGCACTTGCCATAGCTATGCCTGAATACCAAATTTAAAGTTCGTGTGACTTATGGTTTCGAAGTTATGGCTGATAAAAAATTCCACACCCACGGAATGTGCCAAGCCTCCATTTACAAACTCCTTCCTATATACCTTACTATAAGAACCTACCGTAGATATGTCTGTATATCAAATTTCAAGTTCATGTGACCTATGGTTCCGAAGTTATAAGTCATAAAAAATTCCACGCCTATGGGATGTGCCACGCCCCTTTTTACAAACTCATGTATTTATAGCAGGGATGTTGCGGATGTGGAATTTTAGACATCCGCGGATACGAATGCGGATGCGAATATCTAACAGCTAACATCCGCGGATGCGAATGCGGATGTCAAGTATTTTTAAAAAACAATTAGAATCTAGCATAATGGCGAGATCGTTGTTTAAACAGCGCTTACAAGCCAAACCAGATACATATGTCAAGTTGTTTCAGAATTTGGAGAACCTGTAACTTTAGAGCACTTTTCGATTTTAGTTTTTGTAATTCATTTGTAATGGAGGATGGTTCCGTGCGCAGAAGTGGAAAACTTTTGACTGC